GGGGGGGGGGGTAGGAACTGGGGAGTGGGGGACAGCCACCCCTGCAGCACTAGCCACTGCCCCTACACCCCACCCCCTTTTACAACATTCTGGATCTGCCTGTGGGCACTGCTCCCAGGCTGGGACTGGGCCTACCAGAGCCTAGATGGGAATTGTGTCTACAGAAGAATAGCTGAAAAACATACACACATAGGGCAGGGCTTAGACAGCTTTGATGAGGCAACATAGACAGGAAGGGAAAAGAGAGATTATTTGTATCAAGGGACGTAGACATGGCAACAAAGAGCAATTGGACTGGGAAGGCAGGAAGAGAGAGATAGTTGGAGGGGTTTTTTGCAATACATCCCTTCAGACACCTATAGACACCATGAAAATTTCTTGTTAGGTCTCTACCTGTCTTCTTTGTCTCCCTGGAGGTTTCCAAGATAGCAGCCAGCATGCAACAGAAACAGGGAAAGTGGCTGGCCACTAAGTCTCTTCAGAAGAAAGAGAGTGGTAAGACTAAGCAAGCCTCTGAACTGGATAAAAAGCCACATTTTACAGCAAACTGCTAATCCAAAATGCTACCCAACCCTGAGATCCCAGTTATCTTAAACCTCATTTACTCCATTGCTTCCAGCTTCATACACCCATGTAGAAACTCCCGAGTCCCAGCTTGTTCTTTTCTGTTTATCGTCTTCCTATGGTATCATGCCCCACAACTTACACTGTTTCTGCTACTTTATGCAGATCCCCTAGAGGCCGATTGAAGTTGCAAAATGGGTTGTGAAAGCACACATCAGGAAGATGAAGGATTGTACTGTTATAGCCACTGATAAATAACTAGGGCTCTTAGAGGGGATGCAAGAACAACAGCCCCTGCTACCCAGGGCATAGACCTTGGTAGTTAAACCTCTGCTTTCAAGAAGGTGAGTTGCTTGTAATCCTTTTGATTGAGGAAGCCTGTCCATCATTAGTAACAAAGGTTGCAATTTGGAGATGACTTTAGATCCCCGGTTGCAGCAGTGCCCCATCAGCTTTTTATCATGTATCTGGCTATGTGGTTACAACCTTTTCTTTCAGATGTCAACAGTGGATCTTCTCACTGTTATTTTTTGTCACTTCAAGATTAGATTATTGCAATGGAATTGCTGACCCTTAAAACCATTCAAAAACTGAAGCAGATGCTTGCTGAGTGCAAGACATCACTGTGGCTGTAGGGAACACAAAAAGCAATGGCCATAACCTGTAGCAGAAGAAATTTAAGTTGGAGATTAAGAGGAACTTTCTGATGGGGTGGAGAGGGAGGGAAAAACATTGGAACAGGATACCTAGAAAATTTCAGGAGCAGGAATTCAAGAATGGAATTTTCAAGAGCAGGTGAGACAGACTTGACTAGGATGATTTAGTCAGGAATGATCCTACCTTGAGCAGGGGGCTGGACTGGATGATCTTGTGAGATCCCTTCCACCCTACTTTCCTATAAACTCACTGGGAATATATGATGACATTGGATCTTTACTATCTAGTGGCCTCTGGATAGTTGTAAGTGCGGTTATGACCAGTAAAGACCTTTGATACCCAGTAGATTTTCTCAAAGAACTGTGTATTTTCTCTCTCCTTTTCCTGCCACAGATATAAACAGAAGAGTTGCTTAAGTTGGTAGTAGAAAAGGGAGGAGGTAGCTGGCAGGTTGTTCTCTATGACAGCAGCAGGGGTGTGGAACTTGCTCCAGTTTGGCTTGAATTAGCCCAAACACCGGTGAGCTTCCAGGCACACTGCAAGGGACAATGGTTTGATCAGATTTTGTGAAAAGGATGGGGTGAGGGAAGAAGTTTCTGCAGATGCTTGGCTGGCTGAGTTCCTGATGACATTATTGCTTTAATGCTACTGGTATTTTAATAATAGGGTACCTAGTGTCTTGGACAGGTGCCTTTTTATTATTGTTTTAAATCTAAATAAATAAATACATGCATTTGCTCTAATAAGTTTATGTTGCTGTAAATCATGCAAGTTCTCACATCCCTTATTTATTATTTGCACAAGGTATTCTTACTATGCCTTCTTGAATTAAGAGACATATTAGACAGGGAGATTGATTTATCCTGATAAACATGCAGGGTTTTTTCATGCTGGAATGAAATATCCATAGATTCTATCAACAGTTTATTAACATTATGAGACTGTTTATGGTAAACACTCTTCATGGGCTTGCCCATGATTTTAGAAAGGGTGGGCTGAGAATACGGTCCAGATGATCAGAGTTTCTGCCAAAGAAATGTGAAACACTGGGACCTGAAATATCTAAGCCTTTCAACCAATGATTTGGGTATCACCCAAAACAGGGGTAAAGGAGCTGATTGTGGAGGGAAATAGGCACAGCAGACGGAAAGAAATGGTCTGGAAGTAGAGATTAAAGGGATAACATAAGTAAGCACTTCATAAATAATGCATTTGAATACATGCCTCCCCCAAGAACCTCAACCCTTGTTAATGAAATGGCAGAGCAGGGTGGCATGTTACAGACTAACTCAGTGGCTGCCAATCTTTTTGGCAGGAGCACCACAGATTAGTTCCACACCTTCTCAGTGTCACTCCAGTCCCCTTCTCCTGACTAATCTGTTGCTCTGCTTTCTGCTCCCCACCCTTCATTCCCTGTCTGACTTGCTGCTCTGCTTTCAGCCCTATCTGCCACTGTGCTGCCTGTCCCCTCCTTGATCTGCCATGTGGTACACGGAGGGAGCTTGTGCCATTTGTAGCACTTGTGCAGCAGGTTGTCCCCCCTGGACTACTAATTTGATCAGAGAATCATGAGCTTCCATGGGTTATAGGCATCTGATGAAGTAGGATACAGCCTATAAAAGCTCATGCCTCTGAACAAGTTAAGTCTGTAAAGTGCTACCCTGACCTGCCTAACTTCAGACTAACATGATTAACTGCTTCTTTGTATTACTTAAGAGAGAACCAAAAATATATTGCATGCAGAAAAAGGGACTGTGAACTGCATCTAAGCTTCTAAGCAGAAGTAAAACAGATGCATTAATTCAGTTCACCAAAGAGGTAGACTGTTACAACTGATCTGAGCCTTAAAGGGATTTCATCAGTGGTTCTCTACCAGGGAGCCACAAGGCCCTGTTGATGTTACAAAACCAGCACCACTGCAGCCAGGTGAAACTGCCCTGTGTGCCTGTTTCCAGGATCAGCAAGTGGCTGCAGCAGGAGTGGCTAAATCAGTCTCTGGTAGATGTTTTCCTGATCCAGTCCCACACCTGCCTTCTGGAAAGAGGCACGTGGGACAGTCCCACGTGGCAGCAGTGGCAGCAGCCTGGAGAGACAGCCAGTGGAAAACCACTTTTCTGTGGATTTATCTCCAGGTTGCTGTGCTGCCCCTGCTGAGGCCAAGTGGAACTGTCCCATGATCTCTGTTTTCAAGAGCTGAGTGCAGGAACTGGACTAGAAAATCACCCACCAGAGCCAGATTCAGCTGCCATGCTGTAAGCAGTTAATAAAAAGTAGGATCTAATGAACCATGACACTTTTATCAGCATGTCACTTTATCTTGCTCTTAGTACTGCACTATTACTGGGATCTCAGTTCTGAGAAAGGTACAGTAACAGAGTGATAAAGTTAAAGTGATTTAATGGTGCTTGTTTCTCACTTTGCAAGAAGTGACACAAATCAAATGGGGGGCTGCTCCAAGAAGCCCTTATATTGGAATACGACTGTGACTACTAGGCTGCTCTTGTTTGCTGATGTAGATATGCAAGATATACAGGAGCAGATTAGAAAATGGTACAAACTAGGGATAAATTGAATTCCCTATTCCTGACTTCTGCAGTACCAGATTTGTACTATATAAGTACCTCCAACGCTTCTAAAGCACCTCTTTAGAGCACCTCTAATGAAGCAAATGGGAACCAATGCAAATAGCACAGGGTTTAATACAAGAACAAAACTAAAGTTGTTGTGATAATCCAGTGTGTTGTTGTGATAATCCAGTGTGTTTTGGCCCAAATAAACTTTTCCTGAATCAGCATTTCTCATACAAAATATTTAATATACACTTGTAAGTATGGGACAACAGCAGGATTTTGTAAAGAGGAGCTATTTTAAGAAGACAATTGCTGCATGGGAAGAGATGAGGTTAAAACGGAAATCATTTTTAAAGTAATGGGGAGGGATATCCTTTTTACAGAATTTTAAGTATCCAGAATAATTCTATAATGGCAACATCTATTAAGCAATTTAAAAATTCTACAAAGAACATCAAAGGCATTGTTCTCATTTATATGTACATAGTTTTAATACCACCTGTTTTATACAACTACTTTATTAGTTTAAAACACTCTTGGTTTTATTCCTGCTACATTCTGTGAGACAAAGGGGAAAAGAAGGTGCTGCAGCAACCTGGGAGAGAATCACCACTGTAGGGTTAAACCCTTTTTTCTGCTTTGGCAGCTGGATCCTCCACATTGGAAAGTAGGTACTGGGGGCACCAGAGATTACTGATGAGGAACAGACCTGACCAGGAAATGCTTTTCCCTGTTCACCTGCATTTTTCTGAAGAAAATAAATGTTCCCTTCCCAAATTGAAATGAAGAATTGAAGTCTCATTTCCCACTCCCACCACCACCCATCCTCCCATGACGTTAGGTCAGTCAAAACATCTCATCCCACAACTCTGAAATACTGTTTCATTTCTAAGCCTTTCTTGTCGCCAGTTAACTCCCATTTGGAAACAAAAAGGTAGTTTCCCATTGGAAAAATCAAACTATTCCTGTTCCTATAACTGAAGTGCTCTTTTCAACCATTCAGCCACTCTGAATTTGTCTATTGACACATTTTTCACCCCCGAGCTGCAACAGAAGCCCGCACGGATTAAACAGCTGGGGAGCCGAACAGGACCTGGTGTCTTGCTTTCCAGAAGAGTAGCTGGTGTGGGTTGGGGACAGGTCCCAGCAGCTGTGCATGAACACCAGCACGACTAATACTCCAGACACGTCTTGTGACGGGATCTTTCGACCTCAGGGTTGAGTCTTCTGGTCCTGTGCGCGGGGTGAGTTCCGGTCGCACTTGACAGGGCCCCGCGCAGCTGAGACACGCTCTGGCCTGAGGGGGACGTTACCGCAGCATCCTCGACCGCGGGGAGGCAGCAGAGCCACCATGTTGGCACCCGCGTCCCCCGGGTCCGGGGCAATGAGGAAGGGGCCCTGGGCCTTTTGAGGGAAAGCACCCGCCGGGGAGCCGGGGCCGCAGGCAGAGCAGAGGCGCTTCTCTCCGGGCCCCGCCCCGGCTGCAGCTGAGGGAGCGGACCCCTCACGCTTCAGTGCCCCGGTGGCGTCGGGCCTCCCCCCCCGCACCTGCCCCGCCGCCATATAAGCCCCGGCGGCGGCGCAGGCTGGGCAGAGGCACGAGGTAGGGTGGAGCTGCTATGAGGGCCCAGCGCGGCGCCGAGCCCCGAGGGCGCACCCTTCCCGCGCTGGCTGGTGCCGGGGCCGGGGCCGGGGCGCGGGAGGCGGGCTG